GCTATGAAGACTTTATCAAGATTTAGTCAGGATCTGTTCTTGAATCTGGAACGAGAATTCAATCAAGAATACTAGCTAAATCAGAGAGGAGGATCTTAACAAGAATACAAAAGTAGCGTGAAGGTATGGATTAAAATAACATGATTCCATCCCAACATCTATTTTTCTCAAAATCTTTGACATTTTCTGATTTTATATGTCTTACGAGACTTTGGATTTCCTAAAATGATTCCCGATTTTAAATCTAATGATAAAATGCTCAGAACCTCGACGAAATCCTGTTTCAAAATCTGCTAGTATCTTGAAATTCCTTGGTTACATGCTTTCTGCACGATTGCATAGGTTATTGAGACAAAAAAAATGTGAATCTTTGTAGGAATTTTTTAGAATCCGTCAAGGATCTAGTGCCGAAACATCATAGGTTTTCACTAGAACACCAGAACTTTTTCCTGATCATGATTTGGAGCTCAGTATAAACAAATACAAAGATTTTGCCAAAATCTTATAAAGCCTTGTTTTTTTTTGTAGAACTTTTGTAAATGATTATTGAAATTAGTCTAAGATTGGTTCTACAAAAGTCTTTTTTTTTTGTGTTTTTATTCTGAAAGAGAATTTGAAAAATTATTAAATTATGATATTAATTTCAATTCAGTTGCTACAATATTTTCTCATTAAATATCTATTTTTAGTAAGTAGTGTATCTTTTCGTAAAAACTATTCATATTCGTTCAGGATTTAATTGTTTTCTCTGGAAAAAAAAGCAAATCCTTGAAGAATTCTTATTGAATCTGTTAATGATCTACAACGGAAACATTAAGAATTCTTTCTAGGTTATAGTCATGAAAATCTGGTCAAGAAAAATTTTACCTTGTATATGCAATTGTACATAATTCCTGCAATCCAACTTGATTCGTCTGTGGCGTCCAAGTGAACAGGACATAGTAGATCGATGAATTTGTTGATGAACGTGTGAGATTACCACGATTCATACCAGTAATTCCACTTGAAACAATGATACCAGTAAGTGTAGCCACACTCGCATTACATAAATTCATTGCAGATAGATTAAAGCTGATTGAGACACCAACTTGTACTTCTAAACAACGATCTAGAGGAAAAATAATAGGTTCTATTGAACAAGCTGGTTGTGATTGAACATAAATCAAAAATTGAACAGGTACGGAACTCATTGGTGTCATACTTGTTGTATCAATAAAATCTTCAACCTAGAGAGAAAGAAATCATCATTCTATACTATATATATATAGATTAGATTTTGTAATAAATAATTTGATATCTTATGTTTTATACTCATAACATCTTTCTTTCTCGAGATTAGTACCTAATAGAAAAGTATAAATCATCTATCCCGCTAAGAAACAATGTATCTGCTATGGTTGATTCTGTATGGTCTTCTAATTAATAAAGCGATTCAACAAGAGTAGAATACTATTATCATATGATCACATATCGAAATATAATAATATTAGCCATAATTGCTTAATAAAAATAAATAATGTTATGACGGTTGTTGAAGAATTCATGATGAATGAATAGCAATCTCTTTACCTGAATAGCAACTGCGTACCAGACACCAGATTTAGTGGCTGTAAATGTGATAGTGCAATTGGACAAAGTTGTATCATTAGGCACACCATTTGGATAACAAATATCAGCACATTCGTCAACTGCTTGACGAATTGGAAAAGTCGAAGTCGATTTCGGTGTTCCTGGAGTTTCTGTAGTAGTTGTATTGATTGTGGTTGTCGCAACTGTCGTATAGCAACCTGCAGTTTTATTACATGTCGAACCAGTGCATGTGAAATCACAAGTAGGACAGACGCAAGGACAACCTCTGACACATGACGTGGTACAGTTACTACAATGTGTTCTTCTGTTTCTAATATGAATGGATTCTCTATCACTAGTGACTTGGCTGTAAAAATGAATATCAGATCGATGCTTGCTATGTTCTTTCGTGTTAGATCGTTTCCGTCTTCGATATCCAGTTGTGTACGTCGACCATCGACAACGTACATCATCATCAACATTGGCATCCGAAACAGGTATATTTATTTGTACTGTCCTATTGACAATTACATATTGTGGAGAAACAACTTTGGCAACAGGTGGAGTATTAATGAAACCATCTGATCGTTTACGAAGATCAATGTGTGTTACAATAGACCAGTCAAGACCCTGTTGAGTAGGATAATTTAATGCTACCCAAGCATTCCCTCTATAAGCTAGATAAAAATGTGCATCAGCAGATAGACTAATATTTTTTGATCGTTCACTTGTCAACATGTTCATCGACGAACTAGCTGATGTACAATCGGTGAGAATATCAATTGGAGCATTAGAATAACCACCATCAGTTGAACAATCAACTACACAAGTCAGATTAGTGTTGGCACTACTAAATCCACTGGTTGAGCTCGGCACATTGTTGAGACATTTTATATATGGATATGTCCATGAATAAGACTGTATAATAGAAATTTTAACTGAAGTGGAGTTATCATAAGGATCAATAGGAGCCCATCCAATAGTACCTCCATTGAAGTGTTTTGCATCAGTAAAAACGAAGAAACACAACAATATGAACAGACCTAAGCACATTGTTCGTCACTACTTACATCAATGAATTAGAATCTACAAAAACAAATACTTCTCAAAATATTATATGATGAAAAACAACTGTTAACGATAAACCAAAGTGTTCCATAAATTATTCATTGATCAACAGAGTATACATTGGGAAGCAGTTTCTCTCCAGAAGATATTTTCTCAACAAACGAAAAGAAAGGATAAGCTGTCTGATAATGTTTGAAGTGAGATGAACTTTCTTTTAATTGAGAAAAAAAAACAATCTTATTCATCTCGATAACAGTTCTAAATGTCAAAATGTATCACTTGTTCGTTTGTACGATTATTTTCAATGAAAGTATGCATGAGCTAAAAAATTCAAAAATAGCTTCATGACTTTTGTGAATTTTTTTTGAAATCATGTAAAAAATGACGCTTTAATAAAGGATGGAGAGGACATAAAAATTGATTTTTATCATATTCATTGATTTGTAGGGATATTTAATGAAGCAAATGCAATGAATATGGTTTTTAATCAAAATTATGGAATTAAACTGATAAAAATATCCGTTTTAATCAATAAATTTGAAAGACATCTATTTTTTATCCATTTTATCATTTTAATGCAAATTTTTTATGTTCATGGATAGTATTTTCGTTGAAGTTTTTCTTCTTTTGATCATGCAATATATGAAGTAGAACTAAATCGATTAATTTTCAAGAATAACCTACTTTTCAAGTTCGCTCTATTAAATAAGTACTTGAAAGAAAAAAATTCATTCTAAGTATGAATATAAAACTATATAACTTTTTTGAACTATAGATGCTCCTAATTCCGTCCATAGTAATGATATAAATTTGAATACCTACAAACACAGTTTTTGTCACAATAGTATCAATTGTTTCTAAACACTATTGTTACTCACTAAGATGATTGTAGTCTAAGATGCATATGAAAGATACCTTCTATTGTTTTTCTTTGCTTTGCGAAAGCTTGTGACAAAAATAAAAAAAAAAAGATTTTTTAATAAAGAAGTGAATATATTTTTTTTTAACCTCTGCATGTTATATTGTCCGAAGCCACATTAGTGATGATTACTTTTCAAGATATTTTTTCTCTTAATTAATATTCAATCGCATTGAGATGCCTCACCGATAGTCATTACCAACGAGTAGCTGCGTATTTTTCAAAAAAATTCATTGTAAACAAAAGCAAATGCACATTGACTAGATTAATATGTAAAATTCAAGGAATATATTCATTATAATAAAAAAGCAATGCCATTAATAAAAAAAATTCACTCTATAACACATCGTATAAAATTAATTATGAATGTATGGTTTTCATTTGAATAGATTTATTGAATACTATTAAATATCTATTCATATGTTGTTTATGAAAAATAATATTGACAACAGCCAATTCTCATTAAATCTGGCATCAGTCCTACAATCTGTTAAATATAAATAGAAAAGTTACTGATAGAAATTTAAAAATTTTTAAATATATTTTCGGAGAAGTTTTCAATATTATGATGATTTGTCAAATAATAATCTTTGATAAGTTTGTACATGAATATAGGTTATTTATAACAATATCATAATGATATTCGTCTTACAAAAACTACTATTGAAATTCAAATTTCATAGTATATGTTAGTGTGAATTTTGTGTCTATCAGTATTTTCTCATAATGCTTACTTTTCTAATCTGTCTACAATGTTGTCTCAGGTTTTTCTTTCATTGGTTATTAATCAGATAGAAAATAATCAATAAAAATTCGTTGCAGTTTTTCTTATTCTTCGAAGGTTATTTTATTGTCATGGATCGTTTTCTTAGTACAAATTCTTTTAAACAACATCAGTAAAGAAAGGTATAGGGTGGGCAGGTGTGGGTTTGGGTTGGTGTCCTCTACTTGCCTAATCTACATCCACACCCACACCCACACCCACCCAGCCACCCCACCCTGTGGACGAAGCTATTCGAATTAAAATGGCCTTTTCACTATTGAATTTGGGATCAATACAAGAAATAATTAAATTATTTGCAGATCCTGATGTTTACCATTTTTATCATCATCTCTTGTTTCGCACAATTATTATACAATCAATAATAAAAGATACAAAACCAGAAGAAGAAGACGAAGCAGGTTAATTTTAATCAATAAATAATTTTAAAATAAACATCAATATTTAATTTATTTCCAGGAATTGAAGAAGAAAAAGCAATTAAGGCTATTGATCGTGAACCAACATCAATTACTGATACAAAAAATCCACTCACAGCTGAAAGTCATGATGAAATAAAAGATATGAGTGAAAATGATGATGAAATGATGGAAACAAGTGATACGAATGAAGGTAAAACAACAGGTAAGTCATATGAAATAAATAATATAAAAGAGGAATGACATTCATGTTTTTTAATTGATGAAATAGAACTTTTGAAATATCCTTAGTTTAAAAAAAACAATATTTTTCATTAATTTTTAGTTCCGATAAAGGAACATATGGTTGATTATCCTTCGTTAGAATTGGAATATTGTTGTATTACTGATGTATTAAACATGGATATCCTTTGGACGTCTCACAGTAAAAAATTCTATATGGCAACAATGAAAGTCAATTTAAAATCTGATTTATCTTCACATTATATATGGAAAAAAATAGAGAAGAAATAAATGAATGTTTAAATATAGCTACATTTGATGAAGAAGAAAAATTCAATGAAACTTTGATCTTAGTATCAAATAATCCATTGTATTGTTTGTGAGTACAAATTCATTGTATCAATATTTATTTATTCTTTGTCTACTAGTCCACATATTGTATGGAATATTAAAATTGGTATTAATGGTTTCGGACGTATTGATCGTCTTATTTTTCGATGTGCAATTCAACAACGTATTCAAGTAGTTGGCATTAATGGTTAGTATGATATATTTTGTTTGTTTATCTCTCTAATAAAATATGTTCTTATAGATTCATTTTTTCTGTTGATCATATGGCTTATTTGTTTGAATATGATTCAACACATGAACATTTCAATGGTGAAGTTTCATTTAAAGATAAAAAACTTATTGTTAATGGTCAAGAAATCAGTGTTTTCAATGAGTAAATATTTAAAATCAATAAATTTTAATGTTGAATTATATTTTATTTTTAGAGAAGAACCATCAAAAATTCCATGGAACCAACTCGGTATGTTTTTTTTATCTGGATATTGACAAATCAATAATTGATTAATATGTTTGTTTTTCTTAAGATGTTGAATATGTTATTGAATCAACTGGTTTATTTACAACAATTGATAAATGTCAATCACATTTACAAGCTGGTGTTAAAAAAGTTCTAATAGCAGAATCATCAGCTGATGCTCCAATGTTTGTTATGGGTGTTAATGAACATACATATACAGAAAATGAAACAATTCTTTCAAATGCATCATCTACGACAAATTGTTTAGCATCACTTGTTAAAGTTATTCATGAAAAATTTGATATTATTGAAGGTTTAATGACAACTGTACATTCGTACACTGCTATGCAAAAAACTGTTGATGGTCCATCAAAGACTGTATTTAATTAAATTACTGAAAAAAAGAAGATTTTTATTTATATTTTTATGTGTACAGGATTGGCGACATGGACGTGGAGCTGCACAAAAGATTATTCATCATCAACTGATATTGCTAAAGCTGTATATTTATTTATTTTATTTTTAATAAATAAAATAATTGATTTTTTATTGAATCAGATTGGAGAAGTATCTATTTTTTACATACATACAATTTGATTTCTTTCGAGCCAATTTTTATACAGAAATTATTGCATTTTGTATTGTGTTCAGTCATTTTCAATTTTTTAATGTATTTTCTCTGAGAATAAATAGTTACAGCTCGATCAAAATTGTAGCTGTTGTATCTTAGTGTTTTGTTCAAATCCGACTTCTATCGTTTACTAGGGTGTGGGTGTGGGGGTGTGGATGTGGGTGTGTGGGTGTGGGTGTGGGTGTGGGTGAGGGTGTGGATGTGGGGCGGGTGTTGGTGGATGGGTGAATGTGGGTGTTACATCAGGGTAGATCTTTCCTAGTTGTTTAGTCGCCCATGGACACATCCACACCCACACCTACACCCACACTCGCTCCGCACACTCCATACCCACACCCACACCCAATCCGGGAACCCGAACAAAAAACACTTGTTTCCTCTTGTATCCACCAGTGTTCCTGAAAAAATGGAGACAGCTAGTTTAGTTTAATTTCCATTTTGTTCTTTTAATTATGGAGATGGTTGACGGGAATTTTATAGAAGTAATATAAGAAGAAAACACAGTTTCCATTTTTTCCTCTTATTGCTTATTCGAGGAAATTTTCTTCTCTTTCCAAGATGAATGCAAACCCGTTGGTTTGCTTTCTTTTTCTCTTTGTTCATTTATTTAGCGGCGAGTGTTCTCTGATTTTCTAAAAATATCTGACGAGGGAACATCCCCAACTATCCTCTCGCTGATGGATTGAGTATATGCCCAAATGATAGATCTCAGTGAGTTATTAAATACCCTACAAGGGTTTGGTTTCCCAGGCCTCCTGAGCAGAGATATACAGGGTTGAAAAAAATATTATTCAAGGGCGGTAACGCTATAATTTCAAATAGGAGATATGGTGAATTTTATACCAAATGAAAGCCCGTGAAAAATGGGGTTTATTGATGCTAAATAGTAAGGATGTGGGTGTAGGTGTTGATCTCTTTCTGTCCACTGTTACATCCATACCCACACCCACACCCACACCCACACCCATATCTTTCTGAAATTGGTCGCTGAAGACTCTTCGTTTCCTGGTCAAATTGTGTGGACCGATGACGATGAAGCTACTTTCAAGTTGAATAGACACGTCAATCGACATAACTGCGTTTACTACATTACAGAAAACCCTCGTATCATCATTATCCAGCAGATTAATGCCCCAGGCATTATTGTATGGGCCGGAATTTGGGCTGGAGGCCTTATTGAACTGTTCTTCTTTAGTGATACAGTTACTGAACGCAGTTATCTGGAAATGCTTGATGAAGAAATTGTTCCTGCTATTAAATATCGGTTGAATTTAGTAGAAATATTTTATATGCACGATGGAGCTCCGGTTCATTATGATCAATCCATTCGACACTTCTTGGACAAAACATTCCCTGATCGATGGATTGGTCGGTGTGGGCCGATAGACTGGCCAGTATGATCACCGGATTTGACACCGACCGACTTTTTTTTTTATGGGTGTGATAAAAGACCGTATGTATGCAACAAAACTCGAAATCTTCAAGCACTCAAAGATGCTATTATTCCAGAGATGCGGAGGTTACCAATGGAATTATGCCAAAAAGCTTGTCAATCAGTACCTAAGAAACTGCAACTTTGCAAAGACTTAGAAGGTGAACACATTGAGTAATTTTTGTGAAAATCTTCTTACTGCACAGACTTAACAAAGGCATACTTTGGTACGTGTAATTTTGCTGTTCTGTTGCTTTCATAAAAGTTTTGCTAGAACTCACGCATGTTACCTTATTATTGATTCTCCTATATTTCTATGCTTTTGAACAAACTACTACATTCAGATATTGTTCATGTGCTAGATCTTTCACTTATGTCATCTAGTATCTGTGGTATAAATATGAGAGCAAACTGACGATCTATAAGAAAAAAAATCGAAAAAAAACTTTGTTATCTTACTTTTGGGACACCCTGTATGTAAAGAGAAGCTTTCATATTAATCGAAATTGCTCTTTTTCATGAAATATGAGTAGAGAAAATATTTAATTAAAAAAATATAATAGATATTAAACTAAATATTAAAATGATAAGAATCGAAACTTGAGTAGAAATAACATACATTAGATTTTATTAGATAAAAAAGTGATTATTTTGTCTCTCAATATTAAATTAAGTTGGAAAAAGTTATCAATAAATTCGTGCTTGCTTGTTCTTATTTAAGACAACAACACGAACATTATTTGATCAAACATATCGAAGAAAATGGTTGCCATGTACTTTATGCTCCTCATCTTTGTTTCCATAGTGAAGTTTAGTACTACTAATATCATACGTAAGTTGATTAACAGAATTCCTTTTTATCGACTTAAGACTTTCGTGATGATGGAAAAGGAATAAATTCGAATCATTTTTTAGCATAAACAAAGATTCCTCTTAAGTTTTTTTTTTAAAATCTTTCTTAACATTTTCGAAATGATTGATTCTTAGTAAGAAGGTCTCTGCTCGTTAAATATCAATTGAAATAGTATAGAAAGAAAATTTTAGAATCAATTAGAATTTTATTTAAATATTTCTTTTTTTATTATTGACAGCTTCTGTGTCAACAATCACCGAAAATACCATTGGTAATCGTTATAAAAACACGTTCTTTGGTCTATCAGTGGAAAAACCTAAAGGATGGAGTTCAATAAGTCAATCTCAATTGCTTCTAGTGTTTCAATCAGTAGGCACAATGATTTCAAATAATGAGAGTCAATCTACAAAAGAACTGATCGATGCTTCTGTGAAATTAATAATACCTCTTTTTGGTTTTTCTAAGTATCCACTTGGAACGTTCAATGGAAGAGTCAATCCAAACATAATGGGAGTTGCTTTGAATATAAACGAATTACCAAATGCCAAAACCGTTTGTGATTATTTGAATATTAAAAAAAAAATGCTTAAACAAAGTGCACATTATGTTAACTTTGTTAATCAATGTAATGAAGTTAATATCAATGGAGAAATGTTTGGTACACATACATTCACCTTGAAAATGCCAGGTGTACCATTGATCAAACAAACTCAATACGTCAAAATATCAAAAAAAGATCATATCCTTTTTTTTTCATTAACGTATTTCAATCGTCCCAGCCAAAACAAACTTGAAAATGTAATGCGTACACTCAAATTTCAATAAAAATAACTTTTTATATTGAAAATATCATTTTTATTCAATAATAAAAATTGCATTTTCAATCTTCGTCGAAGGACACAATTCTTACAACATCTTTCTTAAAATTTGATCCGAAGTATCTTAGATAGATGTCGAATCTTACACTCTGTGTCAAAATACTTCATCATCCATTCTATTATATATCGAATAATTCTACAGACTTGGAAAGAATTTTATTTCCAGGGAAGTAATCTTGTAGTTTTCGATAGTATCATCGACAAATTTTATAGCAAATTAAAATATGCTTCAAAGGGCTTATGAGAATGGTTCACGTCAGCCGAGAGTAGTGTAGTGTTAAAGCGAGAAGCACAAATTTCAATATGAAAATGATTTTAGATGGGATTATCAATTAGAGTCGTTTTGTGGACAATCTCTTCCCTTCCCATGTTGCGAAAACCGGATCAGTTTTAGCGGTAAACCGCGGTATTTCTCAAAACCGGGTGTGGGTGTGGGTGCAGATGTGAGTGAGAGCGTGGCTGTAAATCTACCTGTCACACTCACACCAACACACCGACACCGACAGCCACCCATACCCCATATCCACACCCACACCCACATCCCCCACACCCACATTCACCCACACCCCACGCCCACACTCTCTTTTTTGTCGCTGACGCATTGCTTGAAAGGTTTTCTTCAGTATGAATTCAATTATGTTTTGACTTAAATGATGTGAGCACAATTTAGACAAACTCTTTATTAATACGTTGCAAAACAAGTTCTAAATCTGTATTAGATAGTCGTTCATTTTTTATTTCCATTAAGCGTTTCAACAATTCCTGGAATTTCTTTAACACTTTAGTTCAGGTGTTTTTCTTTCGACTAAAACTGAGCAGACTGGCATAGAATGCTAAATAAGTTGGTATTATATTCTTGCAAACAAGATTCATTTTTTAAATATTTCAAGTGAAGAATAAGTGAAGTTTCATTGAACTATTATTAAAATACATCTTTATATAGAAAAAGATAAAATGCGAAGTCGTATATTTATCCATGTTTTGGCTAGCGGGCAGGATCGATTTTGAGTGCTACTTTCTATAGCAATTTTACATCGAGGGTTCCTCATTTTTTTTATACCAATGTCGAATAACCTTTAAAAAGTTGCTAGTTTTGATCAAACTAGGCTTTTGTTTTTGCGTCAATGAGGAGGAGATCAATGTATCGTGTATCTCTGTTGCATGATCGACAGAGAATCCTTCGGTCTGTAATGTTATCACAACATTTTTCAGATCTGTGATGTTCATCTATCATTACAAAGATACTTTCATCTCTATAGAAGTTCTTTTTTTTCAATAAGATAATTACCAAAGTTTTGTTCATCTTGAAAATTTAGTCTTAGAGTGAGTTCATCATCAATGAAGATCTAATTAAAAACGCTGTTGCATTTATTAAAATTTTACATGTAGTTCTAAATTATCTTCTTATTTGTCATTATTTGTATGGTTCATATCAATGTGTATAATATAATTGGATGGTCGTAAACAAAACAACAACAATATAGATACAATACATCCTATGAAGTAAATTTTTTATGGTATAAAATGACTTTTACTACTTCATATCTATTCATAAATCTGGAAGTTTCTGTTTGCACATTATATTAAATCTAACAAAGTAAAAAACTTCCGATTCATACATAAAATTTATTAAATGTAAGAGGATTTATTATTTCATAATAGTGTATTACGGGCTTGTTCATGTAGAGAAATTTCGTTAAAAAGTATAACAAAAAAATAAAACTTCAAAATATAACGAAAAAATTTGTTTAACAACCAATCTCATGAAAAACAACATTTGAGGCGCAAATAAAATCCATTAAATCTGAATATATACGCCAAAATGCAATACGATGAAGAATGGTTGGAACACAATCACATCTTGATGTAATTTCTGAAAATAGATAGAAAGCCATGTCCTCCTTAGCGATGTTCGTAATCATACTATGACTAATGAATAGTTCAACAATCAACTTTTCTATAACAGCGTATATATTGAATCAGACGAAACTGCAAAAGTATTCAAAAAAAAGTTTGAAATGATAAATAGTTACGGTAGTCTCTAAATTTGAAAATATTCCGCTCGAAAAGTTAATATTAAATATTTCTTTAGCCATGAAATATCGAACTGAGTGAATGTCAGCTATGTATGAAAATATGTGTCGAAATTTTTTGCTTTCAGGCTTTTTTTTTACGCATACATGACTATAATATATTACATTCGTCAAAATAAAAAGTAATATGATTTTTCTACTATATTGTGCTTACCGTTTTTTTTTTCAAGCATGTGTTTTGATGTTATTTCGTATACATTATTCACTATACAGAAATCACTGAAGCAAATAATTTCATGCACAACGTGTGCATTTTGTGTAACTACGTTCGTGATAGAGTATGTAACAAAAGAAAGAGAAAAAAAACCAAGCACATGAATGAAGAGCAAGAAGCGTAGAAAGGTACATTAATGCAAAGATCGAAAAGAATCATTTACAAAAATAAGTAAACGGTGTTACATACCACATCCAAGCCAAATTAATAACAACTCAAAATCAAAACTTTCCAATATATTGAGTTTTATCAATTTGATTGTAGTGAGTAACGTATCTGAATTAAGCTAACAGTAGAAACAATCTTACTAAACAATACACATACACAGTATCAGTCTAATTTACAAAATCTGTGCATCAACACTCACACCCTGCTTTTGAGCCTAGAATAGAATACCAATACAAGCCAAATGAATTTCTTTCTTGCAACTTTGTGGTGAATTTGATGGCACAATTTTTTTAGAAGATGTAATGTTATATGTTTTAACTGTGTCGAAATATCTTGAAAATAAACGATGTTACAATTATTTTAAAACGCCTGATACGACGCTTATTGACTAAATCATTAGATCTAATATCTTATGAGCGAGCAAAAATTGTACTTATCACAATGATCCAATCAGACAATGTTATACAAGACAGAAATACATTCCTTATCGTCATCGTATGTGCGACCAGTGTGAGTTTACAATCTCTAAAAAAGAATATCAGTTTATATGGAATAAAAAAGATCAAAGAGGATTACGAGTTTCTAGAAAAATGATTACGGAAATTATATTTCTCTTTTCAACTCATTCATGTATTTGGATTATGCGAGCGTCGTTCGATTTTGAAAATAGAATGAAAGAAGAAATGAATTCCAAATGCAGCGTTTCCTTATCTTGTCTACTTTGCCTTCATTGTTTCGATAATTCTATAAAGAATGATAATTCATCTTTTGCTAAATATAAAGATAATAGATTAATTATCTATGACATATAAAATATGTTTTGAGAATATTTCTCGAAATACATCGCTGAAATGTTTTTGCGAAGAATATTGATATAATGAAATATCAAAAGTCTACATCTCTTTTTCTTCAAGATATTGTAGATAAAATGTTAGTTTTCTCATACTTCATATTCTATTTATTCGATGAAATAAAATTACATGACATATGCATTACCTAAAGAATAGAACAAGAAATCTTTTATCAAACACGTGGCTTTATCCTACAGATAAGTAAGAACGATTTCATGTAAAAAACAATGGTTATTTTCGTTTCAATTAACATTTAAATTATTGTTTATTGTATCTTTTATTTTGTAGATTAATATAAAACCCGACATCAATACATAATTGCTGTAATATGGGAAACCTATTGAATTGGTTTAAGACTTTAGAACTATTTGTAAATAACCGTCGAGCGAAACAATATGCTGTTCGTCGTTCGGATCCAGATCATCCCGAACATGTTTCTCCAGATAAATTAACAAATATTAACAAAATTGTCAGGCAATCTGAATATTCATCAATCCAAATAGAAACAACAGTACCACCACCAACAACAACAGTGGCATCATCTAATCAATGTAGCGATTTTTATTTAGCATGTCGCAATAATAATATTGAAGAAGTTCAAAATTTACTTAGCACTATAGACATCCATGATATTGACAGAATTGAACCGAATGGTAGTACGGCATTACATGCTGCATGTTTTCATGGGCATCAAGAAATTGTTGAATTATTATTGAACCAAGGAGCAAATAGAGCTATTCAAAATAAATATGGTTATTTACCATTTGATGAAGCGAACAGCGATAAAATCAAACAACTTTTCTATCGTATACCGAATTGTAATAGATTCATATCAAATATAGGTACTATTGAGTGGGAAATTATTGATGATGATGATGATGATGTTATAGATGATGCTGCACGAACGCGACATTCTCTTAAATCCATTTTTGACAACGCTAGTGGACTGACACCAATGGAGACAATGTTTGAAAAAATTGAAACGAAATATATTGGTAAAGGTTTAGTTAATTTTCAAAGAATCGAAGATATCAAACGTTTCTTTCGAAAAGCAACCGAAGAACAAGATCCAATATGGATCGTTACAGCTTATACAGCTGAAACTGAGTTTTATAAAATTCTCAATCGAGATATAGCAGGTGGTTCTACACAACATCAAAATGAACGACAATTTATTATAGCATTATTATTATTCCATCCAAAATTGGATCATTTATCCTATACTGGTCCATCTTATAGAGTAATGCAAATGAATGAAGATAATATTAAAAAGTATAAAGAGAATTGTTTATTAATGACCAAATCATTTGTATCATCATCCATTGATGAACAAATTGCTTTATGGTTTTTAGGTCGACAAGAATTAGCAAGAAAAGAGAATGGTCAAGCAAATCGTTTTAATCTTGATGGAAAAATAATTAAAAAATGGATTATGTGTAAATATCAAATAAAAGGGCGACGAAATGCTTTACATATTGAAAATTCATCTCAATATGCTAGTGAAGGTGAAATATTAATTATGCCATACACCGTTTTCAGAGTAATAAACATTGCAGAAGTTAAAGTTCCAAATATGGATGATGAACATTGGATCACTGAGATTCAACTAGAAGAATATGAACAGTACATACCCACTGTTTTTTTGTAAAAACCGACGATAACCGGTGATACAATGAAAAACTACCGTTGGAAACGGTTTACGCTTTTTTGTAAGGTCTTATCTGCAAATATTTTTAATCAAATCATTTTACCTATTTTCAAAATGTTTATATTTATTCAAAAGAAATCTAATTTTAATATAATACAGTATACTTTATTAGATGGGACTGTAATTTTATCACTGGTTAGATTATTTCATTAATTAATATTCTTTGTGATGCCATCCTAAGCAAGTGAAAAATGGAGAGATGACCTATCGAGTAGTTCTTAAATAATTTTGACCATTTTATGATAATCTATTCAATTTTTAAAAGCTTTGAGCTTATTTAAATATATTTATAGTTTCTGAAAACTATACAATTCTCTAGTCTTTGCTTACCTAGCGTTCATATTTTGCACAAAGAGAAAATACATCTGATTTTTAAATCTTTTAAACAGTGAATTGGTAATAGTCAAATCAGAAAGAGTCGGACTTTTCATAACACTTATTGCATTCATAAGTATTTCCTTGAAAATAAAATGCCTTTTGTTGAGACAACCATTATCTTTTTTCCTAAAGACAATGCACTACATTTTTGTACACCAAATGAGCCGTACAACATAGAAAACAGATCGAATACTACCTCTTTCTAACAGTCGTCGAATAAAAGTGCTTGTAAAGCAACTCAATACCATAAGTTAATCTAAGTTTCAGTATAGATGAATAAGAAACTAACTTTTGTTTGTAACAGAGCAAAATCAGAATTTCGATTACTTTCTGAGGCCATGCACCTAAAATCAAAGATCTCATTGGAATGAACTTGAGTTGATAAAATTTGAGCATAAAAGTTTCATTCTTCCATACGAAACGCATCATACTGTACAAAAGTGAAAGTTGTTGATCCCTATACAAATCAAGTTATGGTCATCATTATTCCTATAATTGTATTTATTTATTAAGTAAAAATAATTGGAAGAACCTGAATCAACGTAGTAAATTGTTTTTTGTAACAATTTTGTGACCAAGCAGCATGTTTAATTCATAACACATCAATTTGACAACATTTCAGTGTCTATGCAAAATTCGCCTTCTGAAATGATACTTTCTAAATGAAACATTTTCGATTTTCTTTTCATGAGTACCATTGATGGTGGCAAGCGCTTTGGCAATGCGCATCTCTATAACCATCTATTGGTATGTTTGACTTTTTTTCTAATTTTCTGCCACTAAAAGAGTTTATGGTAGTATAGATCTTTCTGAAAAACATTGGTATATTGACTAATTAGATAATTAAGATATTGTGTTCTCTTCTTCGATGTTGCTTTTTGATAAATAGCAAAGTTATTGCTTATTATTGACGCTCGTTCATTATGCTTACTTGCTCATGACTACGGACATACCTATGCTCAACTATAATATAGAAAACATCGGTTTTCAAACCTTCAGGGGAAGCGTTAGCCAAGGGTATGGATACATGGGCGTTGGTGTGGCTCCAGAGAACCGTAGCAAGTACATCCATACCCACATTGACAACCATATTTCACTCACACCTACACCCGATCTCTGCTGAAGCTAGGTTCGACACATCAGACTCTGATAACACTATCTTATTGTCCACCTTAGATGTGTCTTAATCACTTCATAGCTCAACCCTGAATCGCCTGTATTGTTTGGAGAACAAACTTGTCCGTAAATTGCTATTTTTATCACAGGGTGTGGTTGTGAGTAGTGAAATTATCTATTGACTCAGTATTATATCTTTAAAAAACGATTGATTATAGCAATTGAAAACTTTTCATATAAATAAATCTCATCAATGCAGTCAAAATTTAATATCGACCAAAATTAAAAGAGTTTCAATTTTGCCATTGAATCCTTTATTCAGAGTATATAAACAGCAATATTTTAAGCTGTAAATTGCAACACTTAAAATTGTTTTTTTAATATAATATTCTCCATGATAACGAAAAGATACATTGAACAACAATTACAATATAACGGTAATAATGTTCAAGTACTAATGTGTTAAATATCCTATGATTAAGTTCTTAATCTAAACGAAAAAAAACAAAGCATATGTAAAATGATTTTTTGTAAAAACAGTCTGAAGCAAGCATGACTCTTGCGTCATCTTGTTGTAGCAAAGTTAAGAATGTTAAACGAATAATACAAAAAATTCAAATATTGATTTAGATGCACTACATGATATAGCGCAAAAAAATATCCTACAATTCAATATTTGCTATACAATTAGGGGTGTGGCTTGTGGGTGTGGATGCCTGTGTGGCTGTGGCTGTGGCTCTGGATATTTTCATCATTCATACCCACATTCGCACCCTCCGGTGCCGGTTCCAAAAACCATAACATCCGGTTCTCGGTTCCATTTTTCTTGGAACCGCAGAGCTCCAAAATCAGTAACAACTACTAAACCTCGATGACCAACACGACGAGCTAGTTGTACTGTCATAAATCCAGTTCCACCTCCTACCTATATTAGCTACTTTCATGTCACGACGAATAGATAAAACATGGAGTAGAAGTTGTGGTTGTTCTTCTAACCATCGTTCATCTCGAGATAGCCATGCTGCGCTTTCTTCATTATATAGTAATATTGGAGCAATCTCTCTGCCCATATACATGTGCATTTTTCGATTCTACAGTAAATGATATGCTTCATTAGTTTCTATCGATATTTTTATTCTGTCAAGGTTAATAATTTGATGATTATTGTATAAATAAATCTGTTATTAATTCAGATCAGTTACTATTTCTCATTTGATTTTGAATTCACGAAAAAATCTGATGGAGAGAAATAGAAAAAAATATGTGTATACCTTTTTTCATGACCATAAAAACAAATAGGTTTATTAATATCATAAAAATATTTCTTTTCCTTTTTCAAAATTACAACATATAAAACAAAAAAGAACACATAACAATGTTTTATACATACGAATCATAATCAATTCGTACCTTAACAAAGCCATGTATGTTTTACAATACGAAATAATGTTTTATCTTCATCTTTGTTAAAATGGGAAAAGTTAAACTGCTGTTCGGATCCTCATATTAATATGGAATATTTATTCTATATTCCATTTCACGAAAGAAGGTCCTTTTATCAATGTTTTTAATGCTAAATGAAAATTGATTGATGAATTAATTGCATTATAGGAAACAATGATGATACAAAAACGAATGCAAGACATACGATATCTTCATTTGTTACTTCTTAGATTCTTAAGTTAGAATTATAATGTTTAGATTTATAAACAATAAAAAGTGACTATGATAAAAATTGTTTTTTTTAAATAAAAAAAAACGTATTTATAAAATAATCTCAAAGTTGTTTCATTTAGCCAGCAATCAATGTTTGGATAACGATAGTTCGAGTTGGATCAACAATAATATAAACACGATCCATAGGTAAATCTCAAGTCATGGGATCATTAGGTCTCAAAATTACAGGTATAAAGCATAACATAATATTAAAAAGAAAATATATAATAGCATAGAAAAATTTATATAAAAGAAATTACCTTAAGAAGTAACATAAGCAGCTGCTTGTTGTGCATGTCGACCGACTAGTTCAGGAAACGATCGTCCTTGATTGCTCGTTGTAGAAAACAGGGTGTGGGTATGGATATCTTCTCATCACACACACCCACACTCACATCCACACTCACACCCACACTCATACCCACACCCCAGCCGAACCCACACCCACACCCACGCCCACACACCCACACCCACTCACACCCACACCCACACCCCACCCACACCCACACCCACACCCACACCCCACACTCACGCACACCCACCCACCCACCAACATCTACACCCCACACCCACATTCACACCCCACACCCACACCAACACCCACATCCACACTCACACCGCGCACCCACACCACACACCATCACACCCACACCCTAGCCACATCCACACCCTAGCCACACCCACACGCCACACTCACACCCACACCCTCCATTCTTCCATAAACGAAAAAAAATTCCTTTTTATATTGAATCTTGTTCTCCGGTATCCTTTATTATTACATCTTCATTTACATACCGATCAATCGACCGTGAAATTCAAATGAAATCGAAATTTGAAGGAAATGTCGAAAGATTTTGTCATAAATCAATCAAATGCACATAAAAAATATGCAAAAGTGAATCGAAAATTGTTTTGTTGAAAATAAAATTGTGGAGTATCATCATCGTTCAATAAAGATAGTTTAATTGTATTAATGATTGAAAATGAAAAAAAAGATCCATTGTGTATATTTTCGTATAATAAACTTTAAAAATATTGCTGTAAAGTCTTCTTATGGACTTCAACAAACTGTATCATTGTTATTAGTGTAGAAAAGAATTTTCTATTTAGTATCCTCGACAAGTGTTGGCAACAAGCGAGGAAAATTAATTGAAGACCTCTGACATTTTTATTTCATAACTTAGCTAACTTACATGAAACAAGGAGTAACACTAGGACAAGAATTTTCCTCTATGATCATATGCGTATTCTCGTTTTTTAAATTATTGTTGTTTGATAATGGTTTGATTTCGGATGCCAACAGGTGTAATATGTTTCTTAATAAAACATTGATAATTACACTAATCGACGATCACTCATTATTTATTGTCTATATTTGATATCATCATCAAGATATGCTCTTTATATTATCATTTATTGATTTACATTCAAATTTTGACATGTGAAATATTTAACATAATTTCTGTGAATAATCATGTTAAAAAAAATGTAAAAAGTTTAAATGCTGAGAGTCTGCATCATTCGTATCATTTGATTATTTATAGTTTCATGAGCAGATTTTTCTGTTAAATCGTCATGGACATAAAATACTTTTAAAAGTTATGAAAAAAGTGAATCTATTATCATTGAATCATTTAGATATTCTTATCTCAAATTACTATAATTGTTTCCTAATCAATATTCAACATGAATTACAGATACAACTCAAATAAAGCTTTCTTTTAAATAAA